TGTTTTTTTGTGGATATTTTAATGTTCATGGAAGCATAACAATTTTCTATAGTTATTCATTTGTTAATTAAGTGCAGAACGAATTAGACCAGCTTAAGATAATGCGTAATTAATTTATATAATAGTGAAATGGTATGATTCATCTTCTGTGGAAAAAGGGGTAATCATATATATATTACTTGAGTGTATGTTTACCGAAATAATGGTCTAATATTGTGAACTAAAAGAGTTAATGAAAATCAAGCATATAATTACGCAAACTGTAACTGAGGTTTACTTACTTACTTACTTACTTACGCCTGATACTCCCAATGGAGCATAGGCCGCAGACTAGCATTCTCCAACCCACTCTGTCCTGGGCCTTCTTTTCTAGTTCCATCCAATTCTTCTTCATTTTTCTCATTACTATTTCCATTTCCCGGCGTAATGTGTTCTTTGGTCTTCCTCTTTTCCTTTGGCCTTCAGGATTCCATGTGAGGGCTTGTCTTGTGCCGCAGTTGGGTGCTTTCCCCAATGTGTATCCTATCCACTTCCAGCAATTCTTCTTAATTTCTTCTTCCGCTGGGATCTGATTTGTTCTTTCACACAGTTGGTTGTTGCTAATAGTGTCCGGCCAACGGATCCGAAGTATTTTGCGTAGACAACTGTTAATAAACACCTGTATTTTCTGGATGATGGCTTTCGTAGTTCTCCAGGTTTCTGTCCCATACAGTAGAACTGTCTTGACATTTGTATTGAAAATCCTGACCTTGATGTTGGTTGACAGTTGTTTCGAGTTCCAGATGTTCCTCAGTTGTAAATATGCTGCTCTTGCTTTACCGATCCGCACCTTCACATCTGCATCAGATCCACCGTGTTCATCAATGATGCTGCCCAGACATGTAAAGGTCTTTACATCTTCCAAATCTTCTCCGTCAATTGTGACTGGATTGGTGCATGCTGTGTTGTATCGGAGAATCTTGCTTTTCCCTTTGTGTATATTGAGACCTACTGCTGCTGAGGCTGCTGCTACACTGGTCGTCTCCTGCATTTGTTGTTGCGTTTGGGATAGAAGGGCCAGATCATCTGCAAAGTCTAGATCGTCCAACTGTATCCTAGATGTCCACTGTATCCCATGTTTCCCTTCAGATGTTGACGTCTTCATGATCCAGTCGATTACTAGGAGAAAGAGAAAGGGTGAGAGTAAGCAACCTTGCCTGACACCGGTCTTTATTTCGAACGACTTTGTCAACTGTCCTCCATGTACGATTTTGCAGTGTAATCCATCATATGATTTCTGTATGATATTGACTATCTTCTGAGGTACGCCGTAGTGTCGAAGAAGCTTCCATAGTGTTGCTCTGTCCACGCTGTCAAATGCTTTTTCGTAGTCAATGAAGTTGATGTAGAGTGATGAATTCCATTCAATTGATTGTTCCACAATGTTCCGTAGAGTTGCGATTTGGTCTGTACACGATCTATCTTTACGGAATCCTGCCTGTTGGTCACGAAGTTGGGAGTCTACGCAGTCCTTCATCCTGTTTAACAATACCCTGTTGAAGACTTTTCCCGGTATTGAGAGAAGAGTGATGCCCCTGTAGTTATCACAACTGTGGTTTACTGAAGAGAAATAGAATAGTTTACGAAGCGTAGGGAACTTATATTGGTGTATGTAATAATTATCATTAAATCAATAAATCGCACAATACATTAAACTAAATGTGATCCATTCCAAATTATAATCATATAGGAGGATATCTCAAAATAAAAAAATATTGAAAATTCTAAAAAATAACATGTCCTCAATTTAAATCCAGTTTGGTAGACCAAACGATAGTGAGTGGCCTCACATCAGTTAGTCAAACACTTAGTTAAATATCATTGGATTCCATAAAATCTTTTGATAATATTGTTTCTTCTAAGACTGGGCAACTTAATCCGATCAAGATCCATCTTATATATAAATTCTCTCCATTGTAACATAAGATCTTTATGAAATAAAAATGGTTTAAGAATATCGTTTTGATAATGGTACATTGATTGTGCGTAGGAAATATTTTAACAACGAAACAATGTAGGCATGAAATTGGTTACTACTCAATGATCAATCAATTGGAGATAACTCAGTCCTACTGAAGATCCATCGAGGATTGAATTGGTTGGTAATGATTTATCAAGATGTGAAGATAAGTGTATCCGAAAATCATCGTTTCTTTCAACATTACAAATTCTTGACATTAAGGAGCCTGGTTCGGGCAGGATTTCATACTGACTGCTTTCAGTCACCTGAGATCTTGACACAGTGGATTTGATGTCGGTTCACTTCGACTAGTGACCTAATTGTAACATAATCGTTAGGACTTGGTCGATACGAAAGAACAAGATGAACACTTTAATTACCACTACTTAGTGACCAATGAATTGTAGAGGTAAAAGTTTACGAAGAGCATTTCACTCGAACTAAGAATATGACAACTATAAACATAAAGTGATTCAACATTTCTTAAATATGATGAGCACGACATAATATGTTTAAATAGTTCCATGAATTACGTATGGTGTCTTGGAAAAATATGACAGATACAATTTCACCTTTGTTTCGTCATCATATGATAATCGTATTCTTGTTTGTTTAAGTTTAATCTTCGAAATCGGTTTCACATTATGGTGAAAAATGTCTTTATCCCGTCATTTCGCTAGAGTTTTCTTATCTATCCATTCACGCATTATGATACAGATCATAACAAATTCTATTCGTAATTGAGAAAGAATATATTAATCTGAAAGCAGCTTATGCTAATAAGTATATATAATAGTTGACTTATTAACACAAATTTTCATAACACTATTTCCAGTCATTGTTGAATCAACAGTGTTTGAGAAAATCTAATTAAAAAAGATAGCATTTATTATGGACAAATATGAACTTCAGGAGGTCTTAATTAGTCGTCAAAAAACCTAGTTAACATTTGTCATTAAGACGTGCTTGGGATCCTGGGTTAACTGATGCTTCTTGATAGGTTCAAACAGGTGTCGTATAGCATTACATATCGGGACGTTTCCACTGAGCTGTTCGGTGTGGGATTGGCTGAGATATTTAAATTTGATTGATACTACGTGGTAACCAACGCTATGTTTTCTAGTTCTGTGACTGAATATCGCTTACACTAAAAGATTAGACAAACCTTAACACTAGTCTACTACTCAGCAATCAATCACTTGTAGTCACAATCAATTGGATATACGTACGTAAAAATAAAAAGACACTGAGTGGTTAATTTGTCCTAGTTTAGGGTTTTGCAACAGTAAGCAATTCGACCACATGCACGATAAAGTCTAGATCTCTCCAACTTTTCAATGGTAAGCACAATATCAAAGAATAAATTAATTAGAATTCAGTTAAATGGGGGTATATAGTTTAAGCTTGAATGATTACTATGAAATGAATAGTAATTTTTCAAAACAATGTTAAAATCTAATTAATAAATAATAATTATTACAGTACATTTAAATACAGCAATAATCTTGTTTTCTTTCCTCTTTGAATTGTGCCCTTGGTCAAAAATCCCGACTAACCCCTAAATGCACAAGTACTGCCGAGAGTGAGGAGAGTCAGCCCATCCTCTCGAAATGCTCTCACATGGTCACGTGCATACAACCACTGCCAGGGAAGTCCTACTCACTGCCTTCTAGTGGCAGGTTTGTTGTTTACGAAATTGAGAGGACAAAATGCAAATGTCCGGCACTTTAAGAGGGTTGGTGGACACAGAGGATCCACCTAGGGGAGTTGGAAAACCCTGATTCCACACTAGTGGTGTACATGGGCTCCAGGATCCTAAGGAAACAAATGGCGCCTGAAGCACTTATTGGTCACCGGTTACCATGGGGCCGCATCTCCTTACGTTGCTCCACTGTCTTGTGGATTAAACCTTTAGGTCGAAGGCTCCGGGTGCGGTTCCCTAAGAAAATCACATGCTTCGGTTTGGGCACCTGAGCAGTATCCCAGTCCACACATAAATCGAATGACTTATGTGGCGCATATCTGTTTGGTGCCTCTTTGTACCAATTTTTATGTGTTTAAATAAATAACCATTTTGTAATTGGTATTGATTTTATTGTTAATTGTAAAGTATATACTTACACATATAATCACTAGCGTATGAAGAAATTAGTCTCTGAGCTTAATTGGCAATTTTGTTTTACTTCTAACCGATGAGACGACATATGAAAAATAATCTATAGACTATTATACACTGCTTATTTTATCTGTATATTTTTTATTTACCGTTATAACTGAAAAGAAAGCCTATAGAAAACCGTTATCTAATGTTTATACTTGAAATTTCCTTAAGGGAATGTGAATATGACAGATTATGTTACAAAAATGTCTACTCATTTAATTTGATTTGTTAGAAATGTTTTGACACTCCTGAGTGAAATGTTATTTAGTTTAAGCATAACAATATTTTTAGATTATATCAAAAATAATTATAAATACCATTAAGAACGAATTATGAAACTTCTAAAAGTGGTTTCTTTTTGTAAGGTTCTGTATTTTTGTGTTGTTATTATGAAAACTACAATCGATCAGTGTACATGAATACAAAAGTATCCCGAGTGTATTTTCAGTTAGTTCGAAGTATTTTTTGAGCTAGTTAGTTGCTAGGAATGAAAACTGGGAAGCGCCTTCTGTTCTAGTTGGAAACAGTTGGCTGCATATACCTGTATATCATCGTCGATACTCATTATGTAACTTGAACTAAGTACTATCGGTTTCAAACATGTCAGTTTTGGTGTCCACATTGGGACTCGAACCCAGTGCCTTCCACTTCAAGTACTGACGTGCTATCTACTGAGCTACTGAGTCCAAACAGTTACTAACTTTTCTAAAGGTATGAAGTTCGTATCTTTGTCGAGAATTTCTAATTCTAGAGCACTTCATTAAAAACTTATTTTAGAAAATATAATATAAATTAAAATTTATAACTTTTCTATGAAACTACTTTTCTATTATTTTGTAGTATTATCCGGTGGTCCATTGGCATCAGAATATAAGCTGATACAATTTCATTTACATTGGGGATCTGGTAATAATTGGGGCTCTGAGCATATGATCAATGGGATAAGTTGTCCAGCTGAACTACATTGTGTATTTATTAATACTAAATATGCTACAATGGAAACCGCTATTACTTATTCTGATGGATTATCAGTTGTCGGTATATTTTTTCAAGTTAGTTAAATTATGATCACAAAAACAGTGTATTTTACTTCATATATCTTGAAAGGATGGTTTATCGATCCGATGATTGAAACACTTGAAATTAATCTTTATTAGATTGCAGATTTAGGTTCTGTTTGGAGGTAATAAAGATATGTTTGAAACCAACCAGCAATGCCCAACTAAATATTTACTCAGAATCGACCCCAGCAACTGAATGTCTCATTGTGAGGGCTCGACGTCTAGATCATTGAGTTAGAAATGTAAGATAATGGGAATGGACTACGTAGTCTAAATGTTGAGCGCTTATCACGATGCTTGGACATCTTGAGTTTGATTCACAGTGTGGTAGTGGATGTGTCTTCCTTTGAAGTATCATACAAGGACAACATATCTGTTTAGTGTTACCTGCTATTAACTGGTTTTCAAATTATAGTCCATTTGTGATGTAAACTATAAAATTTAAACATCTTCACAAACCCCCTACACTGATTGTTTTCCATTTGTTTATCTATGACATAAACTTTGGTATAACATGACATTTAAAAAGCTGGCTATTAAGAAAGAAAATGATAATATTATGGGGAGAAACAAGAAGAAAAAATAGTAAAATCATTAACTAAGGAGACAACAAGAATATGCTTTAATAAAAAATTTACAAAGACAAATCCCATTCAATTAAAAGTTTTATTTGCCATGTAACAAAAATCTACAGTAACGTTTTCATCGATCTCCATTCTGAGTTATGTCTGATAACATCTCAATCCATGGAGATAAATGATCTATTAGAACCAAATGATGCAATCATGATAGACCAACATACATGATCACTATTTAGCTATTTTTTAGAGTCAGAAGTCATAAACTGACCATCTCTGTGTTTGTTTCATCCAGTTCAATCTCAGTAAATAATTAATGGTTCGTGAGCTACAGAAAATAGGATTATATTTAGAAACCTCACTCTATTTTAGTTTGATTAACTGGGTAGAAACGTTGGTTTATACACAATTAAAGTCCAACTCTAAGCAGATTATCTATAAACCTGTATTTAAAAATTAAAAATACGAAGTTCAGAGAAGGGATCTATTTTCAACGAATTTATTATCAAACTGTACAATCGTATATATATGAAATTTTTTTCTGTAAAAGTACTAATCCCGTGAGGAAATGTGAACACGAATAACCAAGATGACATAATAGAGAGTTTATAATACTAGTTCCGTAATACGAATCATAACAATAGATTTAGATTTAGTAAGCTTGTAACGAATTATAACTTGAATGTAGTAAGATGATTAAAATGATTAAAATGTTTTTGTTACAATAATTAAAGGTCATTAAAGTTCATAGTGGTGTAAAAATAAATAGGATGATATGATGAGCATTTATGAATAAAATAATGAGAATATAGGACATAAGTAAAGGGGGAATGCAGTAATAATAATAATAATAAATAAGGCCAAGGTAACGATAACGATAGGACATACTTCTCTTGTACGCATACTTCTGGCTTGAGCTCATGGATAGTAAGAGCGTCGGGTATTTTTAAGAGTTGGATACGAAGAAATCTAAGTAGATTTGAACGAATCATATATTCAAACTTAAAATCAAACTGTGCATCAGTAGAATGATTACAGTCGATTAGGTGTTCAGGTATAGAACTCCTAGCTGCTTTCCTCCCACTCTTGTAGAACCAAACTGGGACATGTTCCCGTATTCGAGTTGAAAGAGAGCGCCAGCTACGGCCAATGTACCTTGCTCCACAAGAGCAGGTGAACTGGTAGATGCACATGGAGGCGACCAGACGCGGAGGCTTATCTTTTATGGATACAGAAGATACGTTCCTACTAGCGAAAGTTATTCATCTTACCACATTCATGTTATAATTCGTTACAAGCTTACTAAATCTAAATCTATTGTTATGATTCGTATTACGGAACTAGTATTATAAACTCTCTATTATGTCATCTTGGTTATTCGTGTTCACATTTCCTCACGGGATTAGTACTTTTACAAAAACAAAATTTTCATATATATACGATTGTACAGTTTGATAATAAATTCGTTGAAAATAGATCCCTTCTCTGAACTTCGTATTTTTAATTTTCAATGTTTAAATGGGAATTATCAGTCAAACCTGTAATTGTTAATATACGCTAATTATAGCTATATTGTAATAAGGTAGTAATAATGATGAAAGAAAAATTAATTTAACAGACTCATTGAATTTAATTTCCCCAATAAAAATTACTTTCTTTTCCACATTCATCAAAGTATGTGTCAACATAATTCAATGATTAAAGCCAAAACATAGCATCAAACTATTTTTTTATTTCATGAAATAAAAAGATATATATTTTCAGCTAGAGGTTGCGGTGTTTGATGAATTTGATTTGAATCATAAACTGATCAGTGTTGTTGTGTATTAGTTGAAGTTAAGCTTTCTCAGTGGTCTGGAGGTTAAAGGTTCACGCGAGATAGAAAGTTCTAAGTTGGAGTTCTGTGTGCAGGATCGTGGATGCCAGATTCTGAGGAACCCAATGCTGGGAAGAAATGGCCGTTTATTGCCTCCTAGTTTTCAGTGGTGGTCTAACATTGGTCGGTCCATGATCTCAATGATATATATATATATATATATATATATATATATATATATATATATATATATATATATATATATATATATATAATTTATGTTTCGTAGAAATAAGCCAGGTGAATTCCGTGACAAGGCCAACATCATGAATGCCGGATTTCATCTATTTAATTATAAACAAGACTGTATGGTGTTCACCTTTTTGACTGTTAATTAAAATCTTGTTTAATTGGATAGAATATTTAGTAACTTTTAGAGTTCAAACATCGCTGGATTGAAACTATTGATATCTATAAAACTGGATGATAATCGCACCATAGCGTAATATTTAATAGATTTTAAATCATTAGCTGACCTTAGTTAAATTACTTTTGTAAAAGTAGAGGCACTGGATAGCCGTTTCGTTCTACTATAAGACCCCTCATCAAGGCACTTCTGCCAGGGTTCGAACCTAGGATCCTGAATTTCGCGAACAAACTTTTAATCTTCAGACTACTGAACTGGGATCAAGGAGCGTTAAAAGTCTAACTTAAATCAAATAACGATATTGCGTAACTGTCTTACATCTGTTCTGTTGTAAATTGATTGAAGATGGAACAGTACTACTGCTGAGAAGTTCATGACTGAGGGAAAATAGCCGTGTAGTGTTTACCTAATTGAGATGAGAAAGATAACTCGTAAATTAAACCCAATCATTACAAATGTTTGATACATCTGTTTTATTTCAGTATTTTCTCGCATCCAGTATTTATAATAATTGTTATATTTAGTATTATTTATTTGATAAAATAAATTTTCGGCTAAACTGGCTCAGACAACACCTTATTCTTGATTCATGTTACAGAAAAACACTTAAACATGAGTCTGTCGATAGATAAAATGAATAAATGAAATCATTCGAGATTAGATTGGATTCCTTTTTAGAAAAGAACAACACTGAATAAAACAAATAGTAACGTTTACTATGGGTAAATATCTACCTTCAATAGACTAAATTTGGAGCCTATCATGTAAAACTTCATCGTCCTCGAAATTATTTTTATAATTTTTTAAAACGAGAACTAGCAAACTTAAGAGCGGTTGTGGGTAACACTTAAATCCACATCACATTTGAAGTAACTTTAGTCATCTTCAATTTAAATCTCAAGTCATAAGCTCTCTGTTCCACTTTTGTTCTGATTTACACTAACGTAATGATCCCACAAATTTTCTCTCTGATATTTGTCTGAAGAATAAATATTTGATGATTATTCTAATCTCAATTCACAGGAAATATATTGAGATTGCTTTGTGAAACTTATAAATTAAAACCACGTTCGAATCCTGGAGTGGACATCAAGTTGTAAACGCTGGTAAATCAAGGTGATGAGTCCGAAATCGGATGAAGCTCATGTCCTAGATACAACTTCAATCCAGATTTCATTTATTCTTTATGAAACGAGATGGCCATGTAACGATTGTAGGGTACTTTGAAAACAACTTCCTGCCAATGAATGATATTAACTGCCGAACGTCTTAAACCCGTGGAGTACTGAAAAAATATTGCTCTGCAATACATCCACCAAATCATTTCAAATAGAATCTAATGGTTTCAGAATATGGGTAGGAAAAAATCTCTCTAAGCCACTTGATGGAAATCAACCATTTATGGTAAAGATGATCACAAACATTAGCTATAAGTTCAGTCTTTCAGTAGTTTTCATTTCATATCAGAAGGGTTTTGTGGATATTATAGTAATTTCAATGGTTGAGATCATGAGCCAATTGAAGCTAGACCACCATGGAAAACCCGGAAGCACTGAACGGCCGTTTCGTCTTATTTCGGGATTCCTCGGCAGTGCGCATCCACAATCCTTCCTCGCTAGATTCAAACCCAGGACCTTCCAGTCTCGCGAGCGTGAGCGCTTAACCATTATATCACTGAGCCGGCCGGCATTGAACGGTATTAATGTCTAACTTCAACCGATCCACGAAATCGAGCGACACATCCAGTGCCGTTCAATGCTTCCACGTTTTCCATATTGGTATAGCTTCAACTGACTCATGATCTCAACCATTGAAATTACTATAATATCCACAAAACCCTTCTGATATGAATCAACATATGCTCACTAGTGATTGGCTTCAAGAGGTATATCCTAGAGTTCTAGTGAGAAGCAGTTACCAGTGTAGTTTTTAATTCTTAGGTTTATAGATTCTTTATTAAATAAAGAGTGTAAACGCTTTTTAATATGTTTTAATAGTGATCTATAACACATGTTGTTACGTAGACTTTACTATACTTCAACGCTAAGGCGTCAAAACGTGTTACTCATTTTACCCTACTTTTAATGCGAAATGATTACAATTGATTTAATTGACTGTTACTCAATTTATTGTAAATTACCCCATCAGGTGATAAAATTACGTTTACTATTCGAAATGTGTATAGGCCAACTGCCATAAAACCTATTAAAATGGGTTAATTAGAAATTGAACAAATTTCCTAATTTTATGCTCTGGAACTATCTTCTACATATGAAGAACTACTACAAAAGGTCAGCTAATGTGATCAGAAGGCCATCGTAACATTATAATTCCTTTGCTCAATCAGTTATCTTAATTGTTATAATGTTGGATTTCCATGATAGTGTTGAAAATATAAAGGTAGGAATGCCCATACTTGTTTGAATGGAACAAGGAACTCATATGCATTTTATCAATTAATTGTGTCTTGAATACATATTATCATTATATATTAAGTGTTCTATTTGGTTCGGAAAATGAATAAAAAATAACACGAAAAACATGTAGTAAAAGTACTCATCATTGACTAATATTCCATATATATCATCTTAATACTATTTACGTGTTTGTTCCCCAATACCTAATCAATATTTCAAGAACACTTAAGCTTGAAGATCCGTAAGCTTCGCATATATTTCACAACAACAAAAAACTATTAAAGAGAACATGTCTCAGGAGCCACCGACTTGAATTTTTTTTACTGAATTCAGAAACTCAACCTACTTTCATTTTTTTCATTAGGAAATCTTTCTTTTTACTTGAAAAAACACTTAGATTTCGGTTACTTTTTTTCTCTTCTTAATTTCGCTATTTTTTCCTTATGAATAATTTAATGTAGTTGCTTCCTCTTTTTCTTTTCTTTCTTTCTTCTTCTTAGTATTCTTTATATAATTAGCTATAAACCCATTATCGGTTGTTTTTATTGTGCACCATTTCAATGAAATCTCTCTTTTTCTTTTAAATTTAATTAATAAAAGTGGAACAAATCTGTTTCTTTGTATATTTGTTTGTCCTTAATGATTCGTTGTGTTTGTTGTGATTTGACTAGGGTAATGATTTAAACCAAATAAATATTGGAAAGCGTTTCGTGGAGATTTTGGTAGAGGTTAAGCGTTCGCGCGCGAGACTGATAGGTCCAGGGTTGGAATCTTGTGGGGCGGGATCGTAGATGCGCGCTGTCGAGGAGTCCCGTGGTGGGACGAAACGGCCTTCCACTGCTTCCAGATCTTCCATACTGGTCTAGCTTCAATTGACGCATGATCTCAACTATTAAGATTAAATATTGTGTATACTACATTCGACATTGCTTATTAAATTATTCTAAATTCTATGATAATAATAACAACAAATCTGGATTTCATCGAAAAGAAAATTTTCTTCATCTTCTGTAATTGTTGATGATGATTTACAATAATAGAAAGAAAAAACTGTTCATCTATTTCTCAATGATCCTAATGAGTAGAAAATTGAATTCTGTTAATTTCACAGCTTTGTATAAGTCAGATCATTACAGAATAAATAAATAAATAATTCAGTTGTATTAACATTCGTTTAAATAGTAAAGAGAAACAAGGCTGAATATCCAGTATGATCAATATTTTGATTGAGTTTTTTTTAATATCTAAGCGTTATAATCATAATATCATAATTCCTAATTCATTATTTAGAAATAGTTTAAGATGCCAGATAGTTTGCTTTGTCCATTCAATAGTGTGTGAAAAGGTTTTCATGTCTAATAAAAAGCAAGTAAATTTATGATGATGTTTTAATAACATTTTATTCATAACAGATTATTCATACCGGTTAAGCTAATAAATAAATGGTTGAAGTTAGACATTAACACCATTTGATACCTGCTCAGTGGTCTAGTTGGTTGAGTGCCTGGCGCGAGACTGATAGGTCCTGAGTTCGAATGTCTCGGGAGGCGGGATCGTGGATGCGCACTGCCGAGGAGTCTCATACTAGGACGAAACGACTGTCCAGTGCTTCCAGGTTTTCCATGGTGGTCTAGCTTCAATTGACTCATGATTTCAATCTGTGAAATTTCTAAAATCTCCACAAACCTTTTCTGAAAATAAATGAAATACGTTAATGGTGTTGTAGTGACACTTACTTTTGTCTGTAATACTAGAGTGGGTTAAATTAAATAAAATAAAACATTGAGAGGAAGAACGAAACATGAATTTTATTTTAATAAATACAAATTTTATTTCCCTACCGAATCCTACTTTATAACAGAAGCTTGATTACGTAAAGTTGAATTGATTTGTTCCTATTTTGTACTATAGATGTAACTAATACGGAAGAAATTTACATACATTTTACATTCTCACATTGACGATATATTCCATGTTCTCGTAAACACATTTTTTTTAGTCAGTCACACGAATAACTTAACGTTATGAATAATAGGTTTTTTGTTTCGATCAAAAATGTAAGACAGTATACAATAAAAGTAAATGAAGTATTCCAGTTATAATTTTTATAGTTTGTTAAGTAATCAACCACCCGATCAACACTATTGTTATTTTCACTAAATAACTAAATGGTTACCTTTTATTCACTGATTATAGACCATGAATATTTTATGGGGTTTTGAGATTTTTTTAAAATTTAAAAGCAGTATTCACCACAGATTGATCTCCGTTGGTGTACCGTTAAAAACCAAAGATCACTGGATAAGTGCATCTTCTTGGCATGAAACTCATCAGTAGTGCATACCCAAGACCTCACCAGGGACCAAACCCAAATCCTTGAAGCCTAGTGCAAGGCGCTCAATAGAATACTTCCAATTCAAATCAGTTTGTGATATAATGTGGCGATCATTTGATATTAATAATGACATTTAATTTTAATCCCGACGTATGTGAACATAACCTGTTACTTATTCTTGCTACAACTTCTTAAATATTTTAAGGTAAACCGATAGTGAGCGGATTATTGTTGTTTACTTCAAGGGGTTTGTGGGGATAATGTCAGTTTGCAGGTAACATTTACCGAATGAATTCATTGAATAAGCTCCAAAATTACATTAACAATAATACTACTACCACTACTGATAATATTATTAACAGACCCTACTAATGTTTATTTTATAGTTGGGCAAATCATCGAATAATAATAACGCCTTAAAACGTTTATGCTCATTGTTGAAATCAACAAAGAAAGGCGAAAGCAAAGATATTCAACCTATGCTTGATTTGAACACACTTTTGCCAAGTAAGTAAATAATTTTTAACTATATACAGCTATATATATATATATATATATACTATTTAGTAGGGGTTTGAATTCTCCCATTATGAATATATATTTCTGGTTGTCAAGTCAAAAAGTACATCTATTGCATAAGTTGAAATTATGAGAAAAGTCTTATGTTACAAGATTTTTATTTTTCTTCAACTCAAGTCATCGGTAATTTTTCTAAGTGCTTAACATTTACATGTCTAGTTTGTATTGTTTAATGCTATATCATAAATGTTGACAATATTCTTTGATAAGATCTAGTCTTTAACTAGCATATCTCGAAATTGATAGTACTTCTTCATTTGTAGCTATTAAAAATAAGTTTGTGAAAAGAGTGAATTTGTATTTCCGTCCTCATCAATCTATAATCATTTTAACTATATATACAGAAAAAATCAGAGAGGGATTTTGTGGATATTATAGTAATTTATTAGTTGAATTCATGAGTCAATTAAAACTAGACCACCATAGAAAAAGTGGAAGCATTGGATGGCCGGTGGCGCGACTTTATGGATTGGTGAAAGTTAAACATTAACACCTTTCCGTGCCGGCCGGCTCAGTGGTCTAATAGTTAAGCGCTCGCACACGAGACGGATAGATCCTGGGTTCGAATCTCGTGAGGAGGGGTTGTGGATGAGCACTGCTGAAGAGTCCTATACTAGGATGAAACGACCATCCAGTGCCTCCAGGTTTTCCATAGTGGTCTAGGTTCAATTCACTCATGAATTCAAATATAGAAAAATGATAAAACACAATCACTTGTAACAAACGATAAGTGAATTGATCCACCCTCTAAAATTAGCATGTATTTATGCATGAATCAGTTGAAATTAATAATTAGCTTATTTACAAAAACATAAAATCATATCTGTGTATTAAAGTATTTTTACACTTTATCATAATTACACATTTTATTATTTACATTTATTATAAGCAAACACTAACGATAATTGACTGATCTACATTTCACTATGTTAATGTTGTTACAAATTTACGTAAACAAGAGTATTCACGTAGGCCGATGATAATGATTGAATATTAAATTTAAAAAAAAAGGGTAAACTGGATTTTCTAAACACAACTCAGTTTATTTAATACGAAAAATATAAAAATCTCAAAACGTATAGTACTACTATTACCACAATACTTATTACTGTTATTATTATTATCTAATACTGTACGATAGAAACAGAAATGTATGTTCATTGATTTAAACACGGTCTGATTAAATAACATTTGCCAAATGTCAAATGTTATAAACATAGTTTTTTAATTTCTAATTCATGTTATGACCAGTAATTTTATTAGAATACATGAATGTTATTTAACTACGAATAAAATTATTAAATATTCTTTTTTTTTAAAAAAAACACCGGGTTACTAAACTATTGAGATCATGAATTTTTTTGGGGGGGGGGATATTTAGATTGCTACCAAGCTGTACAATCCGATTACTCCAATGATTAAAAAGTCATTATTATTGATAAGATTTCCGTTTTCATACAAAAATTTCAAAAAAAGTTTTTCATATTGTAATAAGTAATCTTTTGCTTTTTTTTTAAAAAAAATAGTACAAATATATCAGTGGTTTATAATCAAATTGGTGTATAACATCATCTAAACAATTTTACAATTTATGGAAATCATGCAAATAGTTGCCATATATACTCTCTCTAACTTATAGACTACATTTTATGTTCCTTATCAGTTAATGACACTTTCTAGTAAAGTTATTGAGTTTCTCTGGTATATTATGGTTTGTTCAAGAAAAAAATCCAAATAACTAATTTATGTAATTATCTTATCCATTTAATTATTATTATTACTGATTTTATTCGGTATTACATTTCTGGTACAATATAGAATTCTCAGCGCAAAGTATTTCAAAAATTTTCCTTTTCTTCTTTCTTGATCGATCCTGACGATAAATATTGAGTAATCACTAATTAGATGTTAGCAGTTCGAGAATCGACTAATTGAATAACATACATTCATTTCGACACATATTGCCAGCAACCACGATGTCTCTGATTGGGCTCTTTTGTAACTTGTACAGCGAAATGTTATAAATTTGTCGTAAACTCTCCTAAATAGGTTATGCGACTGATGGGCATAATGATGTGTTAAAACAAACAAGAAAACAGATAACTTATTGAAATATCCAGATAACAGGAACAGGTAGCCCAGATATTCATACAGGCCGCCTATAATTAAATAATATCACGGAGTTCCCTTGGCGACTAGAGAAAATTTACTAAACTGTCTAAATGTTGAGCTTTTTTTTATTAACAAAGTCAAGTACAATCATTTTACCTAAATGAAATTTACACAATAATGTTGTTATTTTATTAGTTTGTTAAAATTTTATACTTTTCCACGTTTGTTTTTATTATTGATTATGAACTATTTAGTAATCGGTTTTTACCACTTACTTACTGTAAATGTTCACTAATGATTTAACTAATTTTATACATTTTTTTTCATGACTGTTAAACAAAATTACTTGTTCACATTTTGTTGTTGTTGTTGTATATTCTGCCTTCAATTATACATACCAAAGGTGAAAATCAATCAACCAATTGGTTGTAAGAGGGAATAAATTTCTTAGCCTATAAATTTGATGTGTTTTATTTTATTGAACGACATAGTAACCAATAATCTTATTGTTGAGATAATTTGTGTAAATTATACACGTATTATGGTATTTTGTATTTGCTTTTAGTTAATTGTAATGATTATACATCGTTGTCATTCATTATGTGTGTATTACTGTTGGTATGTTTAAAAAAAAGAAATACATGTTGATAGATCCTTCTTTAATGTTTCATATTAAGTAAAGTATTTAATAAAGTATGTGAATGATCTCCTTCTGATAAATCCAATTGGTAACTCCTACATAAAAATCATCTTTATATAATATTCTTGCCAATGAATAATGATTGATACTAGATTTAGAATAATAGACTTAAGAGATTAGGTTGAGTTTTACAAAGGTTTCCAACAAATGGTAGTTCGAGAGATTTTGATATATATATGTATAGTACCTTGGTCCTTTTTCATTAGACTTCAAGTAATTTATTGGTCACTTTATATGACGAGTTGATATTGCCGAAAACCGAAGAAACGCTGCATAGTTTTTCACTCATTGTTTGAAACTTTTCAGTCATACACATTTATCTAATACTTTATATGAAGTATAATTAAGGTCATCCAACTTCTACTGTATGATTAGATTATTAAGCTGAAAACCAAAAATCAGCACTTTCAATTTCAGTAAAATTGTGTTTTGGTATGGTCCTCAATGATAATCGTATAAATATATAGACTTTCCTCTAGAACGTTCAGATATCCTTCTCAAATCTAGTTGTCAAGTGCATGTTTATGTTATATTGAAGTGACTCTGGAAAGTATTTTATAATCAGATGGTGAATTTTATTATAAACGAACGTCAGTTGAAGTTCACACCTATCCGGCAATCCCTGATTTCGAAAGTCCTCCAAATTATTTCAGTTTCTAGTGAATGTAATCTAGATTCATTGTTCACGTATATATATATATATATATATATACATAATGTGATGTGAAAGAAATGTATCCGTGAATTAAGAAGCAAACTTGATGACGTAAGTAAAAGATATTATCTAACATTCTACCAACTAGTGTTGTCGAATTGTCATTTATGTCTAGGTTTGTAAACGGAATCGGCCGTCGGTTGACGGCTAGCAGTGGAATCTAGGGCCCCCACTTCAGCCTCTTCAGGACTCTTCAGCTAGATGTACCTGCATCTTAGAATGACCGTTTACCCGGCAACTCGATGTGAATACCGTTCGCTTCAAATTTCAACTAGACACTAGCTTGTATAATTGAGCGAAATTTAATCCATTTGTTTTGGTTGTTCGAATCCTTCCATTAGCATTTTGCGACTGCAATTGATCACTCTAGTTTGATATATATGTATGTTGTGTGGATTACCTCGATACTACGATATTGTTACTTAATTTTAAAATCTAGGCAAACTGCATAGGCTTCACATATTCCAAAAGAGACTGACCAATAGCAGCCGTAATCGTCAACGAGAATATTCAAACAATCAGTACGAATGAAACAGACTATCATTTCATTTTCGTACATTATAATTGTTCCCAAAATCACCTGAAAAATTAGCACGTGCGTAAGTGTTGATTATCTACTTCGTCGTTCATGAGTACAATATACTCGGATTAAAATCAAAGATTGAAGATTCTATCAACTGCTTTTAGAATGAATATTTTACCTTCGACATTCTGGATTAAATTTAGGTTACTACTACTTGTAAACATGAAATAATATTCATTATGTCGTGGACGTTTCTTGGTTTAAACTCGAAAGTGATCGTAGCTAGACCGTCACTGAATATACAGAAGCACTGGACTTTTTTTTTTCTAGTATGGAACTCCACTATTGAGACCAAACTCAGAACCTTCTATTTCGTGCCCAAATATTTAACTTCTAGGTCATTTAGCCGAAATCCAACAAACTACATATCTAACTTTAACAGATTGCCGATGTAATGCTTTCCAAGCTTCCAATCTTAAAGTTCAATCCTTTTTGACAAAAAGTAGTTGTAAATACGATAGAAATACAAACTTTGTTGAATTGGTGTGCATTTTAGCTATCTTTATAAACTTTTTTACGTAACAAATGTTAATACATTTCTCAACATTAGAACTAAACATTTCAACAACCTTGGAAACAATGGTGAATTGAAAGTTCCAGTTACTTGTATTACTAATCTTCATTGCTTTTTTCAAAGTTCTACATGTACTACAAAAAATATTGTCCCGTAGCCTCAAACGACACCTGTGTCATCCCTGTCGTTGAAAATAATTACTTTTAAATTTTATCTCCTCGATTTTGAGCTATCAATTTATTTTAAGTGTAAATCAGTTTTGTTCTTTTCTCAATTAAGTAATGAAATAAAGATTTAGTCAATAAAACCTTAATTTGAAACAAAACAATTTATAGGCTGGGGATAAACTCCACGTTGTCAAGTTATCTAAGTTAATAATATCAGTAATAATGGGTATGTTTTCGTTTATTTAGTCACTAAATTGTGGATATTTTAAGATGATTTTTATTATAGAATTAATTTGAGGTATGATTTTTGCTATGTTGTAATTTTTCTTCTATCATGGCTGACTCTGCTACACTTAATGCATCCATAGCATCATGGAGTGGTAATTTAGTCGAAGAAAATTCCACATTTTTCATGTAGGTGAGTAAAAACGACAGAAAACGAAATACGCCCTCCATCATGGATTATTATAGTGCAATCAATAATTCCCGTTTTATTTTGGGTGGTTGTCAAGTGAAGGGTCAAAATTGCGAATCACAGTGGAGGTTATCCCCACTTAATTTATATGATCGCTTAATTACAAAGAATTGAAGACAATTCACTGGAAAAACTTCTCTTCTACAAAATCATTTACCGAAGCTGTACATCTGTATTATTAGTGAAAGGAGTACACAATTTATGTACATTATGTTGGTAATTATTCATTATTTCTCTTAAAAACACATGAATTTATAATCCTTGACAAACTGTCATTTGATTATTATTAATTTCATTGTTATTGTTTTTATACACTGTATAATGTTTGAATATTAAGATGGAAATAACTTAATTGTCCATAAAACGGATTGGAGAAAGAAATGAAAAATAGAAATAATGATAAATCACAATTAATTAACATCCATGAAAAATTGCTTGAGGGCATTGTTGATGGGAAAAATAGAAAAAAACAAACTAGAATAAATGTTAAGATCATAAAAGAATGAGTGTCTACATGTGACACATCTACACACACACACACGCACAGAGATTTTAGGCACGAACGCCTTATTTGTTCAAACTCCTACAATACACAACACTTAGGTTATCTGCGTAGATTATTTTAAAAACTAATTCAAGTGAAATGAAATATTCCTCTATGAATTCGTTGACTGTGCTAAATTAACCTTTTAAAAATCCGTTCAAAGCAATATCTTCATGAGGATTCTTGTAAAAGTTAAAAAACTTGAAACAGTTGGTGATACACTCGCTTTTAATTTTTAACAGATTAATATATTGATCCACAATATTGAGCGACACATCCACCATTGTTGATTAGTTGAAGTTAGACATTAACACCCCTGGATGCCGGCTCAGTGGTCTAGAGTTTAAGCGCTCGATCTGGCGAGGCGGTATCGTGGATGCTCACTGCTGAGAAGTCCCACAGTGGGACGAAACGGCCGTCCACTGCTTCTAGGTTTCCCATGGTGGTCTAGCTTTAATTGACTCATGACCTTAACAATTAAAATTAGTATCCACAAAACCCCTTCTGAGACTAATATGGTTTTTTTAATCATTATAAATACAATTAACTATTTGGCCTTAATAAACCGTATTATCATGAAGAAAAGTTCCTCTTTTTTCAATAAAACAATAAGTTTCATTGGCTATAAGTCTCTTATTATTATTCTTGTTTTGGATTTTAATTTTAATATCTTACTTTTATTATGAAGATATTTAGTGATATTATTCTAGTAATAATAATATCTTATCATGTAATATTAACACAACATTAATTGTAGTATGGTTTTTAAGGTTAAATTAAAACTCTTCAATGTAATATACTTAGTTACTTACTTACTTACGCCTGTTACTCCTAATGGAGCATATGCCGCTGACCAGCATTCTCCAATCCACTCTGTCCTAGGTCTTCTTTTCTCATATCTGCCTCCATTTCTCGGCGTAATGTTTTCATTGGTCTTCCTCTTCTCCTTTGGCCATGGGGATTCTAAGCGAGGGCTTGCCTTGCGACGCAGTTGTGTGCTTTCCTCAATGTGTGCCCTATCCACTTCCATCGCTTCTTCCTGATTTCTTCCTCCACTAGAATCTGGTTTGTTCTCTGACACAGTCAATGTAATATAACTATCCATTTATTAGGGATACATTATCTGATTAATCAACTTATGACATTTTGAACATAATAACTAAACATTTTGACTGATAACATAAACCGATCAATGTTAGACAGCCATTAAAAACCTGGAAATACTGGATGTTTGTTTCGTCCTAGTATGAAACTCCTCAGCAGTATGCATCCATGATCTGAGACTAGGAGGAAACGACTGTCCAGTGCTTCCATGTTTTCAATGGTAGTTTAACATTGATCTATTCATGTTCTCGATCAAAACTCAATAATATTCATAACCCTATACTGATAACTAAACATTTATCAGAGTTTAAATCATTCTTAAGACTTACAACTATTTTTTTTAATGGTTGTTTTAATATTAAAATAAAATTTAATTAAAGATTTTGCTTCCTTAATTTATGTTAGATTTTAATTTATTTATAAGCAACATGATATTTTATTGAATACATTTCTTAAATCATTTGAAAAACATCAATAATAATAAGTCGAGGTGGATGGTGGTTTGCAGTGAAATCTAGGACGCGCGTTTCGACCTATTTGGAACTCATTAGTTGAATGTACCTACATTCCAGAATTAATGTTCAAAACAATGGAAGAAACACTTGTCCTGAATTCCACTGATAATTATCATCCGTCGTTGCTTATAATGATTGAAACTCATGGAATTATCGAGGCAATCCCCGCAGGATGGAGATTACAGACTTATCAATTACAGTCCTAAAAATCAATGAGAATATTCAGATAACCAATACAAAAGTGAATTACCAATAATAATTAGTTAATTAAACAGTATCAAGTTATTTTATCAAGCAAAATTAAGGTATAAGATAGTGATACAATGAAAACCAATGTATGAATACTAATATATATTATGAGTGGTTTGGTATGTTTAGCTTGAATGTAATAAAATCAGTAGGAATGATAAACTAAATACTCATTGCTATCTTGTCTTTTATGGTTCAGATTAAAATTCGATCTTAACTAGATAAACTGCAAATCAATGAGTACTGAAAAAGCTGTTTTGTTCTAGTACAGGGCTTCAGAACAGTACCCATCCACGAACTTTGAGGTAAGGATCCACGGACTTCAGGTTTCGTGGCGAGATTTCAGTACATAGACAACTATACAATTTTACAATTTCCATCATTTCTTTATGTTTATCGTAATCGTTTGCACACTAGGAGCTTATTCGGCGTACTTGTTCTGGGAGTTCTAGTTAATAACCATGGAATTCAACTATTTAGGGAGTGAAGCATTTACTCATTCTTATCAATGAAAGTTGATTGCGCAATAATGTGAATTGATTGGACTTAAGCGTAGATGTGATTGAATGAGGACTTAATGGCTTAAATGTTAAGCGTCTGTCATGAGACCCAAAGTTCCTTGGTTCGTTTATTTATTTTACTTAAACACATAAACATTGGTACATGAAGGCACCAAATATATTTGCGTCCCACAAATCATTTGATTTGTGTAAGGGTTAGAATACTGACCGCGTGCCCAAACGGAAGCACGTAAGCTTCTTAGGAAACTACACGTCGTGCCTTTGACCTTGGGGTCTAATCCACAATGCAGTAGAGCAACGTTAGGAGATGCAGTCCCATGGTAGCCGCTGACCAACAATATGTTGATACGTCAGTCATTCCCTCAGGATCCTGGAGCCCATTTGCACCTTTGTCTTGGAATAAAGGTCTACCAACTCCCTCAGGTGGACCCTCCATATCCACTAACTCGGTTAAAGTGCCGGACATTCGCTTTTCGTCCTCTCAATTTCGCAAACAACCTCCCCGTCTCGAGAAGGCAGTGATTAGGACTTCCCTGGCAGTGGATATTTAGTGACCCGTGGATCTGACTCCAATTAGATCGTATGAATGTTTGTTATCGCCTATCCTCGTATATAATCATTGACTTAAATCGCGTTAGTCAATAACGGAATTAAATGAGTCGAATAACGAGAATGGACTTGTGGGTACATATATCTTTGTATATAAAGCGAATGGAATAGAGAGAAGAGAAACGACGCAGAGTGGAGATGGTTGGTAAGCCAACTCCCATTTAAACAAGCGTTAATCAATACTTATAGTTACACAAATGTAAGTTACAGACATGTGATGAGTGGTGGGATAAGAATTGTACACACACCTCCACGCTCATATAAAAAACAGTCAAGATTGATAAGCGAATAAATAACAAGGTCAAAATGTGACTCAACTAGAAGGAATAGAATGGGTTATCCGAAAGCTAGAATAAGGTATATGGGCCTAACCAAATAGCCGACACTACATATATATATGCGTGGCCATGTGAGAGCATTTCGAGAGGGGAGGCTGACTATCCCCACCCTCGACAATACCAGGGCATTTGGAGGCTGACTCAAATCATGCATACTCTAACTGAACTTTAAAAATAATGTGCATAACTTGAGGTGATTTGTTTTATAAATGATCAATTCTTCAGTTGCATGTTAAATGATCGTTTTTCCTTACCCTTGAAATTTTTATATCGTACAGATGATTTATCCAGATACTACACATATTCCGGATCATTAACTACCCCACCATGTAATGAATGTGTCACATGGATCGTTCTCGATGAGCCAGTAGTGATGACTATTGATCAAGTAAGTTTATACACTTAAGTAAAAAGATAAAATTTTCTATTGTTCTACCTTGTGTCATTTATGTTAAATTTTTTGAAACTGAATCAATCAATGAAAACCTGGATGCACTGAACACCTGTTTCGTATGGATGGAATACAGGAAAAGTTTTTAGTCCTATTTTTGACTTGTCAACTAGATTTACCTCAAAGCCACCTTATAAAGCGAGTATGAATTTGATTTGTAAGGCTTTATAGTTTCCCATTCCATTACCGAACATCACAAATCTGCACTAAAAACTTGTGGCTCAATGGTAATATTGAGACATTCCTTTCACTATGTACATTTGTCAAAAAAATCTGACCCATTACAGATCGAAATATCAAGTAAATAGATCTATGAAAGTAATAAAATAGATAAGAAGATGAAATCGATTTCGTGACAGTGAATCTACAACAACATTTGTCTTGAAAGGAATTCATTTCAAAAATCCATCCTCACAAAACAAATCCATCAAACCCTAATAAACATTATATTACAATTAATTCTGAATAGAATCCAACTCCACCTTATAAAATAAGTAAGATCATTTCAAATGACCAAATTAAATTTCATAATCTAACTTCAATTCACTACTTGAATTTCAAATATATAGATTATCACTGGAGGTAATATAATTTGGGATGTTTTCTTTTTTTTCTTTTTTCTCCTTTAAATAATTTTTGATTCATTTCTCTAAACTACAGATAGAAAAAGAGAGTGAAATATGAGCAAGTAAGAGAAGAAAAAAGAATAGTAATCCTCTGGAGACTAATA